CACGTGGGGAGAGACACGGGGAGAGAGACACGGGGAGAGAGAGACACGGGGAGAGACACGGGGAGAGAGAGACACGGGGAGAGAGACACGTGGAGAGAGAGACACGGGCAGAGAGAGACGCGGGGAGAGAGAGACACGGGGAGAGAGAGACACGGGGAGAGAGAGACACGGGGAGAGAGACACGGGGAGAGAGACACGAGGAGAGAGACACGGGGAGAGAGACACGGGGAGAGAGACACGGGGAGAGAGACACGGGGAGAGAAACACGTGGGGAGAGAGAGACACGGGGAGAGAGACACATGGAGAGAGAGACACGGGCAGAGAGAGACACGGGGAGAGAGAGACACGTGGGGAGAGAGACACGGGGAGAGAGAGACACGGGGAGAGAGAGACACGGGGAGAGAGAGACATGGGCAGAGAGAGACACGGGGAGAGAGAGACGCGGGGAGAGAGAGACACGGGGAGAGAGAGACACGGGGAGAGAGAGACACGGGGAGAGAGAGACACGGGGAGAGAGAGACAGGTGGGGAGAGAGAGACACGGGGAGAGAGACACGGGGAGAGAGACACGGGGTGAGAGAGACACGGGGAGAGAGAGACACGGGGAGAGAGAGACACGGGGAGAGAGACACGTGGAGAGAGAGACACGGGCAGAGAGAGACGCGGGGAGAGAGAGACACGGGGAGAGAGAGACACGGGGAGAGAGAGACACGGGGAGAGAGACACGAGGAGAGAGACACGGGGAGAGAGACACGGGGAGAGAGAGACACGGGCAGAGAGAGACACGCGGAGAGAGAGACACGGGGAGAGAGAGAGACACGAGGGGAGAGACACGGGGGGAGAGACACGGGGAGAGAGACACGGGGAGAGAGAGACACGGGGAGAGAGAGACACGGGAGAGAGAGACACGGGGGGAGAGACACTGGGGGAGAGACACGGGGAGAGAGACACGAGCAGAGAGAGACACGGGGAGAGAGAGACACGCGGGGAGAGAGAGAGATACGGGGAGAGAGAGACACGGGGAGAGAGACATGGGGAGAGAGAGACATGGGCAGAGAGAGACACGGGGAGAGAGAGACGCGGGGAGAGAGAGACACGGGGAGAGAGAGACACGGGGAGAGAGAGACACGGGGAGAGAGAGACACGGGGAGAGAGAGACAGGTGGGGAGAGAGAGACACGGGGAGAGAGACACGGGGAGAGAGACACGGGGAGAGAGAGACACGGGGAGAGAGAGACACGGGGAGAGAGAGACATGGGCAGAGAGAGACACGGGGAGAGAGAGACGCGGGGAGAGAGAGACACGGGGAGAGAGAGACACGGGGAGAGAGAGACACGGGGAGAGAGAGACACGGGGAGAGAGAGACAGGTGGGGAGAGAGAGACACGGGGAGAGAGACACGGGGAGAGAGACACGGGGAGAGAGAGACACGGGGAGAGAGAGACACGGGGAGAGAGAGACACGGGGAGAGAGACACGTGGAGAGAGAGACACGGGCAGAGAGAGACACGGGGAGAGAGAGACACGGGGAGAGAGAGACACGGGGAGAGAGAGACACGGGGAGAGAGACACGGGGAGAGAGACACGAGGAGAGAGACACGGGGAGAGAGACACGGGGAGAGAGAGACACGGGCAGAGAGAGACATGCGGAGAGAGAGACACGGGGATAGAGAGAGACACGAGGGGAGAGACACGGGGGGAGAGACACGGGGAGAGAGACACGGGGAGAGAGAGACACGGGGAGAGAGAGACACGGGAGAGAGAGACACGGGGGGAGAGACACGGGGGGAGAGACACGGGGAGAGAGACACGAGCAGAGAGAGACATGGGGAGAGAGAGACACGCGGGGAGAGAGAGAGATACGGGGAGAGAGAGACACGGGGAGAGAGACATGGGGAGAGAGAGACACGGAGAGAGAGACACAGAGAGAAACACGGTGAGAGAGAGAGACACGCGGGGAGAGAGAGACACGGGGAGAGAGAGACGCGGGGAGAGAGAGACACGGGGAGAGAGAGACACGGGGAGAGAGAGACACGGGGAGAGAGAGACACGGGGAGAGAGACACGGGGAAAGAGACACGGGGAGACACGGGGAGAGACACAGAGAGAGAGACACGTGGGGAGAGACAGGGGGGGAGAGAGAGACACGGGGAGAGAGATACAGGGAGTTACGGTATGTGTGTGTGTATCTCGAGATATGTATCTAGAGGTATGTGTGTAGAGCTATTTGTCTATCTAGAGGTATGTGTGTATCTAGAGGTATGTGTGTAGAGGTATGTGTGTATCTAGAGGTATGTGTGTAGAGGTATGTGTGTAGAGGTATGTGTGTAGAGGTATGTGTGTAACTAGAGGTATGTGTGTATCTAGAGGTATGTATCTAGAGGTATGTGTGTATCTAGAGGTATGTGTGTATCTAGAGGTATGTATCTAGAGGTATGTGTGTATCTAGAGGTATGTGTGTAGTGGTATGTGTGTATCTAGAGGTATGTGTGTATCTAGAGGTATGTGTGTATCTAGAGGTATGTGTGTATCTAGAGGTATGTGTGTAGAGGTATGTGTGTATCTAGAGGTATGTGTGTAGAGGTATGTGTGTATCTAGAGGTATGTGTGTATCTATAGCTATGTGTGTATAGGTATGTGTGTATCTAGAGGTATGTGTGTAGAGGTATGTGTGTAGAGGTATGCGTGTAGAGGTATGTGTGTATCTAGAGGTATGTGTGTATCTAGAGGTATGTGTGTATCTAGAGGTATGTGTGTAGAGGTATGTGTGTATCTAGAGGTGTGTGTGTATCTAGATGTATGTGTGTATCTAGAGGTATGTGTGTATAGGTATGTGTGTATCTAGAGGTATGTGTGTATCTAGATGTATGTGTGTATCTAGAGGTATGTGTGTAGAGGTATGTGTGTATCTAGAGGTATGTGTGTATCTAGAGGTATGTGTGTATCTAGAGGTATGTGTGTATCTAGAGGTATGTGTGTATCTAGAGGTATGTGTGTAGAGGTATGTGTGTATCTAGAGGTATGTGTGTAGAGGTATGTATCTAGAGGTATGTGTGTAGAGGTATGTGTGTATCTAGAGGTATGTATGTATCTAGAGGTATGTGTGTATCTAGTGGTATGTGTGTATCTAGAGGTATGTGTGTATAGGTATGTGTGTATCTAGAGGTATGTATCTAGAGGTATGTGTGTATCTAGAGGTATGTGTGTATCTAGAGGTATGTGTGTATCTAGAGGTATGTGTGTATCTAGTGGTATGTGTGTATCTAGTGGTATGTGTGTATCTAGAGGTATGTGTGTAGAGGTATGTGTGTAGAGGTATGTGTGTATCTAGAGGTATGTGTGTATCTAGAGGTATGTGTGTATCTAGAGGTATGTGTATCTAGAGGTATGTGTGTATCTAGATGTATGTGTGTATCTAGAGGTATGTGTGTATCTAGAGGTATGTGTGTAGAGGTATGTGTGTAGAGGTATGTGTGTATCTAGAGGTATGTGTGTAGAGGTATGTGTGTATCTAGAGGTATGTGTGTAGAGGTATGTGTGTAGAGGTATGTGTATCTAGAGGTATGTGTGTATCTAGAGGTATGTGTGTATCTAGAGGTATGTGTGTATCTAGAGGTATGTGTGTATCTAGAGGTATGTGTGTAGAGGTATGTGTGTATCTAGAGGTATGTGTGTAGAGGTATGTGTGTAGAGGTATGTGTGTAGAGGTATGTGTGTAACTAGAGGTATGTGTGTATCTAGAGGTATGTATCTAGAGGTATGTGTGTATCTAGAGGTATGTGTGTATCTAGAGGTATGTATCTAGAGGTATGTGTGTATCTAGAGGTATGTGTGTAGTGGTATGTGTGTATCTAGAGGTATGTGTGTATCTAGAGGTATGTGTGTATCTAGAGGTATGTGTGTATCTAGAGGTATGTGTGTAGAGGTATGTGTGTATCTAGAGGTATGTGTGTATCTAGAGGTATGTGTGTAGAGGTATGTGTGTATCTAGAGGTATGTGTGTATCTAGAGGTATGTGTGTAGAGGTATGTGTGTATCTAGAGGTATGTGTGTAGTGGTATGTGTGTATCTAGAGGTATGTGTGTAGAGGTATGTGTGTATCTAGAGGTATATATGTATCTAGAGGTATGTGTGTATCTAGAGGTATGTATCTAGAGGTATGTGTGTATCTAGAGGTATGTGTGTATCTAGTGGTATGTGTGTAGAGGTATGTATGCATCTAGAGGTATGTGTGTATCTAGAGGTATGTGTGTATCTAGAGGTATGTGTGTAGAGGTATGTGTGTATCTAGAGGTATGTATCTAGAGGTATGTGTGTAGAGGTATGTGTGTATCTAGAGGTATGTGTGTATCTAGAGGTATGTGTGTATCTAGAGGTATGTGTGTATCTAGTGATATGTGTGTAGAGGTATGTGTGTATCTAGAGGTATGTGTGTATCTAGAGGTATGTGTGTAGAGGTATGTGTGTAGAGGTATGTGTGTATCTAGTGGTATGTGTGTAGAGGTATGTGTGTATCTAGAGGTATGTGTGTATCTAGAGGTATGTGTGTAGAGGTATGTGTGTAGAGGTATGTGTGTATCTAGAGGTATGTGTGTAGAGGTATGTGTGTAGAGGTATGTGTGTATCTAGAGGTATGTGTGTATCTAGAGGTATGTGTGTAGAGGTATGTGTGTATAGGTATGTGTGTATCTAGTGGTATGTGTGTAGAGGTATGTGTGTATCTAGTGGTATGTGTGTATCTAGAGGTATGTGTGTAGAGGTATGTGTGTAGAGGTATGTGTGTATCTAGAGGTATGTGTATCTAGAGGTATGTGTGTAGAGGTATGTGTGTAGAGGTATGTGTATCTAGAGGTATGTGTGTATCTAGAGGTATGTGTATCTAGAGGTATGTGTGTATCTAGAGGTATGTGTATCTAGAGGTATGTGTGTATCTAGATGTATGTGTGTATCTAGAGGTATGTGTGTATAGGTATGTGTGTATCTAGAGGTATGTGTGTATCGTCACCTGGTATCCGATGGGTGACTTCTTGATCTTGCTCAGCTTCTCCAGCTCCACCCACTCAGCCCTCTGTGCAAGTACCTGGACCTTGATCCACCACAGCCTGCACCAACACAGCGTCACACCGACACAGCGTCACACCAACACAGCGTCACACCACTACAGCGTCACACCACTACAGCGTCACACCAACACAGCATCACACCAACACAGCGTCATACCACAGCCTGCACCAACACAGCGTCACACCAACACAGTGTCACACCAACACAGCATCACACTACAGCGTCACACCAACACAGCGTCACACCAACACAGCGTCACACCAACACAGCGTCACACCAACACAGCATCACAACAACACAGCGTCACAACAACACAGCGTCAGACTACAGCGTCATACCAACACAGCGTCACACCACTACAGCGTCACACCACTACAGCCTGCACCAACACAGCGTCACACCAACACAGCGTCACACTACAGCGTCACACCAACAGAGCGTCACACGACACAGCGTCACACCAACACAGCGTCACACCAACACAGCGTCACACCAACACAGCGTCACACCAACACAGCGTCACACCAACACAGCGTCACACTACAGCGTCACACCAACACAGTGTCACACCAACACAGCGTCACACCAACACAGCGTCACACCAACACAGCGTCATACCAACAGCGGCACACCAACACAGCGTCATACCAACACAGCGTCACACCACTACAGCGTCATACCAGCAGAGCGTCACACCACTACAGCGTCACACCAACACAGCGTCACACCAACACAGCGTCACACCAACACAGCGTCACACCACTACAGCGTCACACCAACACAGCGTCACACCACTACAGCGTCACACCAACGCAGCGTCACACCAACGCAGCGTCACACCAACGCAGCGTCACACCAACACAGCGTCACACCAACACAGCGTCACACCACTACAGCGTCACACCAACAGTGTCACACCACTACAGCGTCACACCACCACAGCGTCACACCACTACAGCGTCACACCAACACAGTGTCACACCAGTACAGCGTCACACCAACACAGCGTCATACCACTACAGCGTCACACCAACACAGCGTCACACCAACACAGCGTCATACCACTACAGCGTCACACCAACACAGCGTCACACAACTACAGAATCACACCACTACATCGTCACACCAATACAGCGTCACACAACTACAGCATCACACCAACACAGCATCACACCACTACAGCATCACACCACTACAGCGTCACACCACTACAGCGTCATACCAACACAGCCTCATACTACTACAGCGTCACACCACTACAGCGTCACACCACTACAGCGTCACACCACTACAGCGTCACACCAACAGCGTCACACCACTACAGCGTCACACCAACACAGCGTCACACCAACACAGCGTCACACCAACACAGCGTCACACCACTACAGCCTCACACCACTACAGCATCACACCACTACAGCGTCATACCACTACAGCGTCACAACACTACAGCACAATACCACTACAGCATCACACCACTACATCGTCACACCACTACAGCGTCATACCACTACAGCGTCATACCACTACAGCGTCACACCACTACAGCACAATACCACTATAGCGTCACACCACTACAGCGTCATACCACTACAGCGTCATACCACTACAGCGTCACACCACTACAGCACAATACCACTACAGCGTCACACCACTACAGCGTCACACCACTACAGCGTCACACCACCACAGCGTCACACCACTAGTGTCATACCACTACAGCGTCACACCAACACAGCGTCACACCACTACAGCGTCACACCACTACAGCGTCACACACCTACAGCGTCACACACCTACAGCGTCACACACCTACAGCGTCACACCAACACAGCGTCACACCACTACAGCGTCACCCCACTACAGCGTCACACCAACACAGCGTCACACCACTACAGCGTCACACCACTACAGCGTCACACCAACAGCGTCACACCAACACAGCGTCACACCAACACAGCGTCACACCACTACAGCGTCATACCACTACAGCGTCACACCACTACAGCGTCACACCAACACAGCGTCACACCACTACAGCGTCACACCACTACAGCGTCATACCACTACAGCGTCACACCACTACAGCGTCACACCAACACAGCGTCACACCACTACAGCACAATACCACTACAGCATCACACCAACACAGCGTCACACCACTACAGCGTCACACCACTACAGCGTCACACCACTACAGCGTCACACCACTACAGCGTCACACCACTACAGCACAATACCACTACAGCGTCACACCACTACAGCGTCAGACCAACACAGCGTCACACCACTACAGCGTCACACCACTACAGCGTCATACCACTACAGCGTCACACCACTACAGCGTCACACCAACACAGCGTCACACCACTACAGCACAATACCACTACAGCGTCACACCAACACAGCGTCACACCACTACAGCGTCACACCACTACAGCGTCATACCACTACAGCGTCACACCACTACAGCGTCACACCACTACAGCGTCACACCACTACAGCACAATACCACTACAGCGTCACACCACTACAGCGTCACACCAACACAGCGTCACACCACTACAGCGTCACACCACTACAGCGTCATACCACTACAGCGTCACACCACTACAGCGTCACACCAACACAGCGTCACACCACTACAGCACAATACCACTACAGCGTCACACCAACACAGCGTCACACCACTACAGCGTCACACCACTACAGCGTCATACCACTACAGCGTCACACCACTACAGCGTCACACCACTACAGCACAATACCACTACAGCGTCACACCACTACACCTGTCAACACAGTGACGTGTCACCACAGGTGTGTCAACACAGTGACGTGTCAACACAGGTGTGTCAACACAGGTGTGTCAACACAGGTGTGTCAACACAGTGACGTGTCAACACAGTGACGTGTCAACACAGGTGTGTCAACACAGGTGTGTCAACACAGTGATGTGTCAACACAGTGACGTGTCAACACAGGTGTGTCAACACAGGTGTGTCAACACAGGTGTGTCAACACAGTGACGTGTCAACACAGGTGTGTCAACACAGGTGTGTCAACACAGGTGTGTCAACACAGGTGTGTCAACACAGTGACGTGTCAACACAGGTGTGTCAACACAGTGACGTGTCAACACAGGTGTGTCAACACAGGTGTGTCAACACAGTGACGTGTCAACACAGGTGTGTCAACACAGGTGTGTCAACACAGGTGTGTCAACACAGGCGTGTCAACACAGGTGTGTCAACACAGTGACGTGTCAACACAGGCGTGTCAACACAGGTGTGTCAACACAGGTGTGTCAACACAGGTGTGTCAACACAGGTGTGTCAACAGTGACGTGTCAACACAGACGTGTCAACACAGGTGTGTCAACACAGACGTGTCAACACAGTGACGTGTCAACACAGGTGTGTCAACACAGGTGTGTCAACACAGGTGTGTCAACACAGGTGTGTCAACACAGGTGTGTCACAGTGACGTGTCAACACAGGTGTGTCAACACAGTGACGTGTCAACACAGTGACGTGTCAACACAGGTGTGTCAACACAGGTGTGTCAACACAGTGACGTGTCACCACAGGTGTGTCAACACAGTGACGTGTCAACACAGGTGTGTCAACACAGTGACGTGTCAACACAGGTGTGTCAACACAGGTGTGTCAACACAGGTGTGTCAACACAGTGACGTGTCAACACAGTGACGTGTCAACACAGGTGTGTCAACACAGGTGTGTCAACACAGGTGTGTCAACACAGGTGTGTCAACACAGGTGTGTCACCACAGGTGTGTCAACACAGTGACGTGTCAACACAGGTGTGTCAACACAGTGACGTGTCAACACAGGTGTGTCAACACAGTGACGTGTCAACACAGGTGTGTCAACACAGGTGTGTCAACACAGGTGTGTCAACACAGTGACGTGTCAACACAGGTGTGTCAACACAGTGACGTGTCAACACAGGTGTGTCAACACAGTGACGTGTCAACACAGTGACGTGTCAACACAGTGACGTGTCAACACAGGTGTGTCAACACAGGTGTGTCAACACAGGTGTGTCAACACAGGTGTGTCAACACAGGTGTGTCAACACAGTGACGTGTCAACACAGTGACGTGTCAACACAGGTGTGTCAACACAGACGTGTCAACACAGGTGTGTCAACACAGTGACGTGTCAACACAGTGACGTGTCACCACAGGTGTGTCAACACAGTGACGTGTCAACACAGGTGTGTCAACACAGTGACGTGTCAACACAGGTGTGTCAACACAGTGACGTGTCAACACAGGTGTGTCAACACAGGTGTGTCAACACAGGTGTGTCAACACAGTGACGTGTCAACACAGGTGTGTCAACACAGTGACGTGTCAACACAGGTGTGTCAACACAGGTGTGTCAACACAGGTGTGTCAACACAGTGACGTGTCAACACAGGTGTGTCACAGTGACGTGTCAACACAGGTCCTGTCAACACAGTGACGTGTCAACACAGGCGTGTCAACACAGTGACGTGTCAACACAGACGTGTCAACACAGGTGTGTCAACACAGTGACGTGTCAACACAGTGACGTGTCAACACAGTGACGTGTCAACACAGGTGTGTCAACACAGGTGTGTCAACACAGGTGTGTCAACACAGGCGTGTCAACACAGTGACGTGTCAACACAGGTGTGTCAACACAGGTGTGTCAACACAGGTGTGTCACAGTGACGTGTCAACACAGGTGTGTCAACACAGTGACGTGTCAACACAGGTGTGTCAACACAGTGACGTGTCAACACAGGTGTGTCAACACAGGTGTGTCAACACAGTGACGTGTCAACACAGGTGTGTCAACACAGGTGTGTCAACACAGGTGTGTCAACACAGGTGTGTCAACACAGTGACGTGTCAACACAGTGACGTGTCAACACAGGTGTGTCAACACAGACGTGTCAACACAGTGACGTGTCAACACAGGTGTGTCAACACAGGTGTGTCAACACAGTGACGTGTCAACACAGGTGTGTCAACACAGTGACGTGT